CTCCTCCTCCTCCTCCTCCTCCTCCTCCTCCTCCTCCTCCTTCCTCCTTCTCTTCTCTCTTCCCCTTTCTCCTGTCATTCATTCGCTCTGGGTCTCTTCTCCTGGCCTCCCTTCCCACTTAGGACGGCTCTCAACAGCCTCCCTAAAGAGGGCAAGGGACCAGAGGAGAGACCCTCCTCTGTACTCAGCTCCCTCAGCTACCGCAAGAGGCTCACCCTGAAAGACTCCATCGGGGGCACTGGAGACCAGGACTCGCTCCTCACCACCCTGAGTGAGCGTGGTACCTCCCCTGAAAGGCCACCCAGGAAGGCCCGTGTGGGCCCCAGGAAGGAACCTGACCAGGCCCAGGACAGGAGGTGCGAAGAGCTGGATGATTGCAGCTCCATCTTCTCAGGGGCTGGGAGCCGCACTGGCCGGGGTCTGGAGAAGCGCTGGGGCTCAGACTTTGACCGATCCTCGACAGTCTCTGCTCCGGTCAGCCGGGCCTCCTCAGCCACGCGTGGCTCTGGCGAGGATAGGGCTTGCTCCTCGCTGAGCTTCTCACTGTCAGGCTCACCCAGCTCCCGCCGTAGCACATCCAGGCTCGACAGCTTGTCAAGCACTGTAAGTCCTTCCTGGAACCGGGCCTCAGGCCTGGGTCGGGAGAGTCCCGACTCCAGGCTATCTCTCGGCCAGAGCTGCCTGGATGAGTGGGATGATGGCGCCAGTGTGGCCCTCAGTGAGGCACACTCACAGTTCAGCCATCCATCACTGGCCCGGAGCCTGTCTGTGCCACCCCAGCCACGGAGCTCTTCCTCAGCCTCAGCCTCCATCACTGAGGGCTCCAGTGTCCGACCTGTCAGCCGACACTCCTACCTGGATCCAGACCTGGAGGCTGCCATTAACGAGGTCTTGAGCTACAAACCCGTGCCGTTCCAGCGGAGCAGCCTGGAGCCTGACTCTGAGGATGATGACCGGAAGAGCATCCAGAGTGCCCGGAGTGCACAGCTGAAGCACCCAGATAGGGGCACCAGCATCCGCCGTTCTGCCTCTGCCGCAGATGTCTCTTTACGCAGTGGCCGAAAAAGCCGGAGCAAGCATAGGAGTAAACGGAGCAACCCCAGCCCCAGCTCCAGCTCCAGCTCCTCCAGCTCTAGCTCGGAAGCTTCCTCAGAGCACACGCGGCGGAGGAAAGGACGCTCTCGGAAGAGCAAGAAGAAATCCAAATCAAGAAGAAAGAAAGCAGAGACTGAATCTGACTCCTCATCCTCATCCAGTGGCTCCACGGTCTCAGGCCATAGCCGCTCCAGTGTGAAAAAGGGCCCAACAGCAGACATGGAGGAAGTGGGGCAAACTCCAAGACGGTCAAAGAAGGAAGAGAAGCAGCGAAAGAAAGAGGTCGACAGTCTGATGATGCGGTACCTGTACCGACCAGAGAGTGACTAGTGCAGTAGGTGCCGTGTGCCCTGGTGGAGTGCAGCATGGTGTGTCCCACCCTTTGTGAACTAACATTCCCTGCTCCTCCAACCGCCACCTCAGGCTCCCCTCCAACCTCTTGGGCCTCAGAGAGCCTCCTGGGTGCTGTGCTCTGAGCCCAGTCAGCTGAATTTGCTGATGTTGGAGCTCCAGCCTCACCCTGATCCTCCTGTGCGATGTGTTTGAAACTAATCCTTCCTATAACTTCATAACAAAGATCTGATCAGCTCTGTGTCATAAAAGTTAGGGTTCAAAGAGATGAAGATATACAGCCGGGAAGTAAGGTTACCAGGAGCTAATGGGGGTCTGTTTTACACCGTTAACTGCCTCCATTTAGAGCGTGTAGGTGCCGTGTAGGTGTCACCGACACCCACGTCAGAGCTTTCATGCAACAGAATGGACCCAGAAAAGAACCCGAGTTGATGTGACTGTGAACTCTAACGAGGCCCTTTGCTGTCTCTGTTCCCTCCTTCACTACCTCCCTCCTTACCATGGATCTGGAGCTGCAGCCTACCCAGTGCCACACCCTACAGTAGACCCAGGAGATACCTGCCGCCTCCCTAGCCCTCCCACCCACACTCAGCCCGCACGTGGGCGTCACCTCAACTCTGCTTATCTTGTAAAGTTCTAATGAATAGAAATTAGCAGTTGCTGAGTGACAGCCCCCTCCCTGCTCTCCTGCCTCCCCCGGCTCTTCTCACAGTGGGGACAAGACTAGCAGTCAGGCCCTTGTGCCCACACCTTCAACAGAGAGAGGCAGAGCCTGAATCACCGGAATCCCATTGTTGCCTGTTTCCCTGGTGGGCGGTGACATTTTGAATCGCCCCAGTTGTGAGGTGGTGGGAAGCATTTTCAGCATTGGGCATGCTTGCTGCTTCCCAGGAGGCACAACCCCATACTGTAACCACCTGGGGTACCACATTTGTTTCCCAGACGTGTGAACTAACACACCTGTTGCATGCTTGTGCCTTGGGGTATCTGGTAAAAGAGGAAGTTGCCTTTGTCCCTTTGGAAATGGGAGGGAGAGGGGGGAAGTGACTGAGAACTGGGAGTATGGAGATGGAGCTTGGATCCAGAGCTGGCTTAGGGCAGCTCGGGCCAAGCTAGGCCACTCCTTGGTTTCAGCTCTGTCGCTTCTCCACCCCTGCGGTTTCAGGGTACTCAAGGGGGAGCAGGGAGTGTCTGTGGCCTTTGTTAGTTCCCTCGGGAGGAAAGATAGGAGTCAAAATACTTGGTCAATGATTTTAGCTTCCTTAAGGCTCAGCCTTGCTAAAGGCCCTGCACCCCAGGTGGAGAAGTCAGTTGGTGGGTGGAAGGGGAGGTCTAGACACAAAGAAGGCCAGGCCCCTCTGTACCTCTTCCCAGAAGGAAGCAATTGCCTTGCTGGGCAATCCCAGACTGCTGACTGGTGACTGGTGACTAGTAGACTGCATACCTGAATCCTTCTAGCACCCAGTCCTATTTCAGAGTGGCTAAGACAGAAAGCCCTGTTTCTGCAGCCCCCTCTCACCCACAGCTCAGTTGCTTTTGTCTATGGAAAGAGCCAACTGGTCCTGAAACCCGGGTGATGGTAGAGTGGTCTCCAACTAGAACCTGGCCAACTACCATGAAGTGGGGGATGGGGTGGGCAGCAAGGGATGCCATGCAAAAGCAGAAGGTGGGGGCAGAGCCCCACCCCCTCGCCTAGGGTTAAGGCAGAGTACAGTGTTGTCACCCTGTGCTTTCCCAGCAGGAATTAGCTTGTGTATCAAATTGTTTGTGACAGCACCGAGCAGGAGACACCGGCTTGTGGGGAAGGAGAACTTTTTAAACAAGTTAGTTAAAATGTTCCAGTTGCCAGTCCAGACTCTTGCTCTGGGGACAAGGAGGTGCCTGCTGTTGGCCTACCGATGGTGGTGGCAGTAAAGGCAGATACAGAGACTGGCCAGAGAGAGCTCAAGAAAGATTGCAAGGCATCTTGGGAGTCCTCAGCCCAGGGAAGAGCAAAGGACAGAGTTGTTCCGTGCTTGGTTGGCTCTGCTTCTTTGAGGTGTCTTTAGAGCAACCTGACCACTGTTTATCTGGGTGTCTGGGATGTGGGAATGGAGTCTGGAGACCCACCTGTGAAAAGAGATGAAGGATGGAAGCAACCGGCCACCCAGGGCTGCGCCTCATTTATACCCGGACCCCAGCCCTGACATCTGCTCATGCACTCTGCTCACAGAATAACCCCACTGCCTTTCCTCAAAGCCAGGCGTTCCTTAGCTGGAAAGCAAACCTTTAGCACAGGGTGTACAGAAATTCCGTGTTAAGAAAAGAAAACAAGTGGCTCCCACTAATTCAGGATCCAAGCAACCCCAAGGCTGCAGTGACCTCTGTTTTTTTCTCCGTTGCAACAGTTAGTGCTGAGCTTTATAATTTTGTCCTGGAGATGCCGTGAGGCCTTAAGTGCTTCTGGCCCATCAGAATAAGACTCATTTATGTTCAGTCCAGTTTGTATTAAGTGTGTTTTGTGCTATTCTGATTCCTTTAAAAATGGTAATTCATTCATGAGAAATACGATAACTATTAACCAGACTGCCCCATTGCTGAGCCATTTTGCATAATTGAACATATATCTTCCCAGGCTCTTCCCTTCTGCCAGGGACACAGAGACCTGTCTTTACATACCCCAGTTACTCCTCCAGCCAACTGGAGAAGTTAAGTTTGGTCTTGTTTTGTACTCTAAGGCTGATGTCCAATTCAGGTTCAGGTCTTGGCCGTGACCTTGGTCAGGGTGCTTCTTCCCTTAGAGATAGCTTTCTCCCCTTATATTACTGGGAAGAATAAGACAGAACAGTGAGTCCAAGGTAGTGGCTCTCAGCCTTCCTAATGCTACAAACCTTTAATACAGTTTCTCTTTGTGGTGACCCCAAACATAAAATTATTTCATTGCTGCTTCATAACTGTAATGTTCTACTATTAAAAATCATAATGTAAATATCTGATATACAGGATATTTGATACGTGACCCCAAAAGGATCATCCAGGAGGCTCAGGCAGTGCCTCCTACAGGAGGACTCTTAGTGGAACCTTTACTTCTGCTCCTCTATGCTATCTCCAGGGAAGCCTAAAATGCTGTCTGCTTCCTCAGTAAACCAATCAGTAAATAAAGGACCGCCCTTGGGTTTCTAGTTCAGAATATAGTAGACTAGCGATTGTAGACACTCTCCTCGTCCAAGTAGAAGGTCACCAAGACTTGTATCCCTTGTCTCTTGGAGCACAGGTGCTCCAGGGACAAAGCTGGGGCCATGGCACCAGTAGCAGTGAAGCTGTGTTGGGCTGTGTATTCTCCAGTGACATTAGACTGTACTGCATGTGCTCGGCGACAGTGGGGACAGGAGGCGTCTCAGAAGCTCAAAACGAGTCTTGTCTACTCTGTTGGATGTCACAATCCTACTCCTTCCAAGGGATAATGCTTCTTCCTGTCTTTGGAGGGACAGCCTTCCAGAGCCAGGGGCCTGAGGAAGACTTCAAGAGGTTGTTAAGGGCCTTTTCCATTGGCCGGCCCATCCTCAGGTCTTGCAAGCCTCCATACCTTTTCCAGTAGAGGATGCCATGGTCAAGGACAGAAGTCTTCCAGGCCCAGGGAAGCCCTTGATTAGGGAAAATAGTTTAGACCTAGGATCCTGCCAGGAGTAATCTGCCTGAGAGTTTCCTCCTTGGACAGGTTGTAGTCAAGTAGTCACCTGCCTTGAAACTTCATCCGTGTTGTCTGTGGACGGCTTGCATCGGAGCAAGGGAGCTGAAAACTCTGAGTTCCAGGGTTCCTCCCTCATGACTCGGTCCAAGCCTCTCAGGGGAAGGAGCCAGGAACGTGTTTCTTAGCCTCATGGAAGCCTGGCCCTTGTTGTCACCAGCCCTCCTGTCATGATAGTCTGAAAAGCTTACCAACTGCAAACTGTGTGCTCCTTTTGACCTGGGAACGTTTGGGTTTTGAAGAGAGCTTGGTGGCACAGAGTAGAGGTGTTCTTTAGCCCTGACCCTGTTCCTCTCTCCCTGCAGCCCAACCAGCCACTGGAAGTCCCTCGCCCCTGACCTATCAGATGATGAGCACGATCCTGTGGACAGCATCTCCAGACCCCGGTTCTCCCACAACTATCTGAGTGACAGCGACACAGAGGCCAAGCTGACAGAGACCAATGCATAGCCTGGGATGGCTCATGGCCCTCCCACCCCACAGCCTCTCCCAGGAAATAGAGGGGTACCACTGCCCCCATTTGACTGACGATCTTCATGGAAAACACCTCGGCTTTCTGCCAGGGGGACTCTCCAGGCTGTGGGTGTCTGATAGCTCCACATGGAAGAGGTGGGAGAAGCAGAGTCTCTGCAAAGAGAGCTTCTACTCTTGCCTCAGAATGCCATGCTCTTAGCTCCCTCCCTGGGCCGCTATGGATATGTCAAGTGTCCTGGCACTCCATGGAGCCGGTAGTGGACCTCCATCTCAGCCTCCTGCTCAGGGATGGTGGATAGGTTACCTGCTGGACGGCTTGAAGTTGATGGGCCCACGGGAAAGAGTCAGGAGGGAGCAGCAATGCCTCCCCTCTGCTGGGGTGAGGGCTTTCTCTTCTCAGTGCCTGCTGTCTTTTTACTGTTTAATTTAAATACCCAAACCTCCATGCAGCTGGATCCCTGAGAGTGGGAGGGGCTGCTGCAGCTGGGCCCTGTGGGATGCCTTGGGAATCTCCTCTCCATCTTCACTTCTTCAGAGGCCCTTTCTCATGCAGCCTCCTGCCAGGAGACACTGGTGAGCCGAGCTGGGGCCCTGGTTCTTAGGAGACTGCAGGGTGGGGAGAATGGCAGCTGGGTGCTTCTGGCTTGGACCGAGCAAGCCTTGTTGGAGTATTAAGTGCAATGAGCAATTATTTAAGAGCTGATCTCTTCCACCTGCACCCACCCATGGTTTCCAGCACTGCCTTCCTCTGACCGTATTATAGCCGGCCACTCATTAGGCACTGAAGGCTTGTGGTGGGCACAGTGGAAGGTAGATGTTTTGGTCTGTTTATCAGACTAGAGTCCTAACCCTCTGTCATCTTTCTCCTGCCCATAACCCTGTTCCCACACACTTATCCCAGATACAGCAACAAGTGGTCTGGATATCTCAGTCATTTACCATAAAGGTCATCCTGACCGTTCCACCGGATTTGGGGGCCCAAAGGCAGTACCTGGTGCTGGACCCATTTGCCATCGCCCTTCCCTTCTGCAGTTGCTTTGTACTCATCGGGCTGTGCTCTCCCTGTGGACCTGATTGATGTAAGGAAATAAAAGGCCCCTTCCCTCCTGGCCACATGTTTCCCTGCCTCTCCTTGAAGGCCCAGAGGAAATCCAGGGTGGTCCCGGGGCAGGGGCAGAAGTGGGATTCTGATGGGGACATGGAAGGACCACCTTGGTCTGTGTGGCCTATTCTCAAGCCAGGCCAATGCCACTCCCAGAGCCTTGGCAGGTCACTTGAGAGTGGGTGCGGAGATTGGTTCAGGAGGACAGAGCCCCCACATTTGTGTTGAGGCAAGTAGGGTTGGCAGCTTGCTAATGCTTTGTCCCCAGCCCTTTCTCAAAAGTTTAGTCACTCCAAAGGTGACTTTCTGATCAAAACTTGGCAGCATGTTCTCTGTTCCTCAGCCCTCTTTGGTCACAGAAAACTTGAGTCAGCTGGGAACACTGCCTCAAATCCTGCTCAGTCAGCCTGCATGGCTGAGCTACACTTTGGCCAGGCTTTGTGGCCTTGCAAAAGTTATAGGGTAGCTCATGCAGATGAGGAAGAAACCAAAGACCTTCCCTACCCTCGTCCTCCTCCTCTGCACGTTACCCATGGCTAGATATATTTCCCACAGGCGTTAAGTGGTCTGAGGAAGTGGGTGGGAAAGGCTCTGGTGACGACTGCCACCAGGAAAGTCAAGAGAGGGAAAAGTCACCACCAAAACAACTATGAAATGGGTCCTTCTAGAACAAAGATGCCTGCCCTCCAACAAAGAGAAAAGACAATGAAACAGAGTCTCACTGTGTAGCCCAGGTGGACCTCCAATTCACACTTCTCCTGCCTCAGCCTCCCTAATCCCCAGATTACAAGTGTAAACTAACATACCTGATCTGGGGTGAGACTGTTTTCTCAAGTCAGGGAACTTGTGTCCCTCAATCTGCTCAGCATTTTGAGACAGCTGTCCTCATTAGCCTGGGCATGGTCCTGGTGCTGAGAGCGGAGTCCTTTCCGATTGGGGATATCCCAGTGTGGAATTGAACACTCAGAGCATATGCCTCACCTGCTGGTAAGTATCAGCTTCCGACCTGAGAGGAGAAATCTCAGTGCCTGCCTCCAGGGATGGGAGCAAGGGCCACTGCAGAAGGGCAGAGAAGGTGCTTCCGAGCTACAGAAAGTGAATGAATGAATGCCTTTGTGGGGAGCGAAACTGTGAAGGGTCCTCAAAACAGTATTTGGGGCTAAGGGCTTTAAGGAGAATGAATCCACAGGTAGTTGGTGCTAGGACATGCGTGGGAAAGAAAGAACTTACACAATGGTCCTGAGACAGAGCCAGATAAACAATGCTCATGCCACACGCTGTCTGGGAAAGTCCAAGTTCACAGCCCTCATTGACCAGTGCTTCTCTCAGTTCCCACAGAACCCTCCGCTAGGCTCCAGGTTATGAGGGCAGTGCTTCCTTCCCTTGGTTCCCACTCCAGAGACCCATAGGGCCACCAAATCATGTCTTCACTTGGGGTCACACCTGGAGAACTCTGCAAGCTCCTAAATACAGTACCTCTTATTCCTAAGATGCTTGTGATTCCACAAAACAAAGCCGCTGGCCCTGTGCCTTGTGCCCTGTGCCCATCGCCCATCTCACCCTGCGTCCCCATTCAATCCTCCACGCTAATTTCCAGCCTGCAGGAATGCTCTGACTCCAGAATAAAAGGCAAGGGACCAAAGCCCTAGGGGACTCCCTGTAGTGCCCGGACACATCAGCAGCAGGCAGTGACCCCAAACTGCTCCCTTTGTCCTAAGTCCTCTTGGCAGATTATCCCAGTTGTCCTTCCCTCATCCCCCGCCCCTGTGCCTGGTGGCACAGACACTTAGCGATTTGCTCCTTAATTGTCCCCCAGCTAGGCTGCGCAGATGCCGCTCTTTAATCTCTCCTGATAAATGAATCGCGCCGCTCCTTTAATCATATGTTCATATCCAAGCCAATTTGAATCAATTTGGCAGGGAGCGTGTTGCAAGAGACGCCATGACTGCTGTTCTCCCCCCAGGGCCCCAGAGCCTGAATGCTACAGTCCTCACTTTCAGCAAAGAGCCCAGGAGGCCCATCTAGGAAAAGGAGTGCCTACCTGAAGTGAGGACTTTTTAAAGTCAGCCACCTCATTTGCTTCCCGCCCTCCAAGCAGGCTGTGTGGGAAGAGAAGATGGATTCCCAATGGCCTCAGGAGTGGGAGGGACAGGGGATGAGTTCACAGCCAGCCTCAGTCACTGAATAGAGGGCCACATTATCGTCCCTGGGAGAAAGTACTGTCTTAAATCTAACCTTAATCCCTTCTGTTCCTCTTTCATTTCCTCGGAGCCGGGAACTTGGAACACTTCATTGCCTCTTCTATGGCATCACAAGTCAGACCCAACTATGCTAATTTGTCCCCGCCCGCTACTCAGAGCTACCTCAACTGCTTTCATCTTCCCCTGGGCTATATCTTCTCCAAACCTTCCAGCCGAGGGGCGAGCCTGGACTGCATTCTGCCTTTAGGGTAGTTGCCTTCCCTTTGCCCTAGTTGGAATCTGGGCCCACTGGGAAAAACAGCAAAAGCAAACGGACTACTGACACCACAACCTGGGAGAAGGGGCTGACTCTTCTGGCCTCTGTTTCCACCTTTGTAAAGTAAGGCAGTGTTGCTGGCAAGAACTTTTGGTTCCTAAGTTCAGAGTTCATTGCTGCCACCAAGGCATCCTTGGGTGGCACCCATGGAGTTGGAAGACTCAGGTGCTGAGGAAGCTCACGGTCTGGTTGGGCTTGGCTTCGGTCCAGCAGCCTCTGACTTTCAGCCACTCTTTCATTTTCTTTTGTCCTCTCTTCCTGACTCCGATGGGTGGCCTGTCCTTCTCTAGGAAACTGAGAAATCATTACCATTTATTCTGATCTTATTTGCAAGCTCACAGCCCTGGTTTCCTAGCTCAGTCAGTAGCTTCTGGCTCCATCCCACACCTGGAGATTCTGCCCATATTGCTCCCAGAAGCCACTCACCCACCCCCCTACCCACCCCACACACATATATACAGGGTTTCTGTTTGTAACCATTCTGGATGTCCTGAAACTCGGTATACCAGGATAGACTCAAACTCCCAGAGATCCACCTGCCTCTGCCTCCCAAGTGCTAAGATTAAAGACCTGAGCCAATGCTACCACCATCCAGCCTAAGCTACATCTTTTAAAAGAGGCTGTGTTAGCTCTGTCTTAAGCAGTTGACAAGGCCATGTGTATGACATTGCCCCCCGCCGTGTGTGTGTGTCTGTCTGTCTGTCTGTCTGTCTGTGAGGGGGGGGTCTCACTAAATATATAGCCCTGGCTGTCATGGAACTCATAATGCAGACCAGGCTGGCCTCAAACTCACAGAGGCCCACAGCTGCCTCTGCCTCCCAAGTGCTTTGATTCTGTCTCGTCCCCATTCAGATTGCAAGAGTGGTCTGGAGTGCAGTCTTACCATCATGCTCAGCATTGCCCTTTTAATGATTTCAGCATCAGAAAGTCCAAGGGAGCAGGTTCCTACCCCTCTAAAGCTTCTTATAAATCTTAGGGGGAGCTGAGGCAAGGATGGACCAGGTGGGTGGTGCTTCCAAGATTATTGCCTGTTTGGTGAAGAGGCAACAACTGCTCCTGGGCACTGAGTTTCTGGAGTCTCCAGCCCTGATGCCTTGGCTGACGTAATCCTTCACACTTCTGTTAAGTGTCATTGTCCTCTAAGGTAACTGAGGTTCAAGTGATGTCAGCAAGCTCCTCTGCTTGGATCCAGCAGCTGGCTGAGCACCTGGGACTATTCCAGGCTTGTCAGAATGTGAGAAGCAGCAAGAAGGGGAGGGACCACTGTCATGGCCTCCTCAAGCCTTTATGTGCTTAGTCTTCACCAGACCTGACCTGAGGAAGAAAACGCTTTCGGCAATTTCAGGATGATGTGCCTAGTTCACATCCATGTTGCTCTTTAGAATTTCAGGACACCTCCCCCCAATACGTTATCACATTTGTGCTGCGCTCCCACTGTGGCAACAATATGAAGAACAGTTCTGCATGGCTCAGAATGCATATTTTAAGCAATATTCACTTCATCTAATTTTGCGATGGTAAGACAGAACAATCCAGACCTTTGCGATTCGATCGGGGAAGAGGAAGCGATCCAAAGCAATAGCCATCTTGGAGCTAACAAGGATGCTAGATCTGTTTAGGAGGAATTTTACAGAGAAATTGGGTTTTCTGCAGTATATGCTCCTCTGATGGGTCATATCCATAAGGGAGATTCCAGAGACGCTGTGTGCTTTGTGATTGAAGTTGGTGACACAAATCTCCCAGCAGAATACTTATATGTGCAGATAGAATTTGCTTTTGATATCAAAAGTCAGCTATGACAGTTTTATCAAAAAATGTTTTAAAGGATATTAAGTTTTGACACCGTTCAGGCAAATTATATTTGAGGTGACTTAAGAGTCAAAGAGTTTCCACATTTTAATAAATTTTTATATGTTTTGTGCCAGATTTACCATCTGACTAGGGAAAAAAGCAAATGCATTTGGGGAAGAGAGGGCGCTTAGGGGATTTCAACGTGGGGAATAAAATTTTTAAAAGGGAGTTAAAAAAAGAAAAAAAGATGCTTCTGAGTGGGAGATGTAGCCAGCAGCTTTTGAAACAGTAAGTCTTTAAAAGACAGGTCAACGGCTGCAGCCAGACATATAAAATCATATGTGATGAAACAGGTCCAGTGTCTGGTTTCAACCCTGAGGCCTGGCATCATTTGCAGATTGGTATCCTGGGGCAGAGTCTAGCCCCAGGGACTACTATATCATGGAAAGCAACCTTGGTAGGTGGTACTCTCTGAAAGATTTTGTGTCAGAAGGACAGGTCCTGTGAGGTGCCACCGTGAACCTGGCTCTCATGGGTATCTATCTCTTCCTGATACAGGTGTACTTAACCACCAAGCAGGTGTTCATGGTAAGAAATGGACCTCTGCTCACAAGGACCTGCTGAAGTAAGCCAACAGGACAGTGAGGCAGGTTGTGGCTGAGGATGTAGCTCCGTGGCACAGCCTGTGTAACACCTGAGTT